AAGGAGGTCACGGTCATTAATTCTAAAAATCCTCCGATTTAAGCAAAAACAAGTAGTATGATTTTGGCATGAAGCTATCCTATGGGAGAGGAAAAGACTAATTTTTGATGGACAATTATGGGTGATTGACCTTATCTGCGTGTGTATTTGACCTTCTTCATCAATCCATTCAGTTGAGCTACCCTCGCTGCCAAATTGGTGACAGCGGCGCTTAACTTCAACTGGAGATAAAGCCAAATCGGTCAGTCATTCATCAACGATATGTGAGAGTTCAATTTCTCTCAAAATAACCACTTTAATCACCTTTTTTCTAAGTCCCTAGTTTACAAAACTACAGATAACACAAACGTTTATGTCATATCACTTTATCTAGATTATTGCAACAAGTGATTACACATGCATATTATAAAGCGTGTTTTAAGGATAATACTGAAACAGTTTTTTGGTATTGTCGAAGTGTATTTAACTTGATAAGATCAGACCGATATTTTTTAAATGTTATGGACCTAGATATATGGGGTGCTACACATATAATTATCAGTGAAATTTATTATAAAATAGATCGACGTTAGCATTTGAATCTGTACCAAGTCCGTTATCATGACAACAGCGTTATCTCTTGCGCTTTTGAGGTCGGTGATTTATAAGAACTATTTGATAGTTAGGTTTAAATTCAAGCATTTATTAGATTTGTTCTACAATCATTATTATAACAGGTTGGCAAGGTCATATCCTAGCATAAAAATGCTCGTTTTGTATAATTCATTACGTAGGTGCTACAAAATTATTTTGTGTAAATCGTGGAATACTTATATTAAACACTTTATATAAGTCCGGAAAATTTCCTTACTCTTAGGAGTTTGTCGGATTTAAGGAAGATTTATGGAAATAAGTATAACACCACCCCTTGTTTTTTTGAAGCCCAAACTGTGTTACCTCTTGACGCCGTTGACCTCAACTGTAATACGATGGTGGTTTATTCCTTGGTATTGGTGAGGCGCCAATTTTGGACTTTGAATGAGCCCTCTTGTACCTCGCTCGGTGGGCTGGCCTTTCAGGCCATGCCAATAGGCAAGACACCTTCTCTGTGCAAAATATGTATTCTGCCCGGGTATTGTGTCTTCTTTCGTCTTAAGGCCGTCTCGGAACGGTACACAACCATATGTAAAATTTTGAAACTAGATCTCAGTTATTTTAAAATGAAGAATTTTAATTAGTGTCATGCGTGATTCCCATTTTTACTACCTTCACTCGCAGTTAGTGTTATAACGTATCTAGGGGTAAACAAAGTTACAATTTATGAAATCGTTATTTCTTAATTTTGCGCGATTAAGGTATCCACCGACGGAAATTTGTGTCAAAAGTCATTGTTTAATTTATGGGTTCCATTTTATCATGAATAAAACAACCAGCTTTCTTTTACCATGCTGCATCTCCTCTCGAAAGTGTAATTTACCTTGTGAGTATGGGAATAGATTAGCCTTGGGAGGACTAGAAATTTGAAAGTCAATATTCTCCAGAAAAATGTATTAAACAGTTTTCATCCTCAATCGCATTTAATTAGTCGTTATGTACAACTATATAACAAATGTACTTTTGCCCTCTATATTCTTTTGCGACAATTTCTTGTGCATAGTATGATATTCTTAAAGTATTGTATGTAAAAAATAAACTTGGATGGTCTTCCCTCAAAATGCGTGAATTAGTATCTCTACGTCAAGCCGAAATCTTCATTAACTTTCGAATTCCACGTCAATCAATACTGCTTGTCAAATACAAAATGGCCCTGAGATTGAACTCATCACCGAGCAAGAAAGCCTTGCTTCCCAAAAGCGATTTTGTTGACCATCCCTTCGTCCAACGTCAAACGCCTACAAATACCCCTCCAAAAAGCGGCGCTACTTGCTGCAATTCTTCTTTAGACATCAGCAGTTTCGGTCTTTTCCTCACTATCATCACGCTAATAGGCGCGGCCTCTGCCACCTTCTTCATTCCCATCATACACATCCGCACTTTTCTGCTAGAGGTCACACCAGAAAGACTGGAGGCCGTTCGTGCGGGCACGCTGAACAAATTCGAGGTGGGAATCGTGCATAATAGCTGGCCAGTCTACAACTACCCAAAGAGTGCTGATTTGATCCTGGATTTGGTGACAAAGGCTGAGATGCGATTGGCAGAGACACCTAACACTGCTGCATTTATGCTTGGAGAAAGTAGCTAAAGCAGTTTTAAAAAAGCGTCTATAATTACAATAACTTGTGGTTTTTACTTATTTTTAATGTAAGCATGCCATGGGCCGTTCATGCTAAGCCGGGACCTCAGCATTAGAATAATCAATTTTCTAGATTAGGTTTTGACCAATTCGAGGCAGTTATTTTAACAAGATTTCCTGAGATATTTGAATACTTATCTTAATTCTTAAATAATACATGTTAATTTCCCACATGAGAAGTTGTACCAATGCGTCTAGGCAGCTCAAAACATTTCACTTTACCCCGTCACCTGTCAAAAGCGGAGAGCTGTCTTCATATTCACCATATGCTAACTAATCAAAGCTTTATAATTTTGTCAACGATTTGACAGCACACCTTTTTAAAGATACAAATTTTAAAGACTTAGTTTCCCTTAAGCTCTTTCGAATGAATAACGCATCCTTCCACTTGTCCCCATTTTCGGTTTAAGGACGCAGATTGTCGGTCCACTGGCGTGACTGTTTCACCTACTACCCAATGGTCATGGCTCTTCTCATCTTTTCAATCTCCACCCAGGCCTTCTTTCGTTTGCATCCCTTCTGGAGAAACGCCTCTCCGATTTGTCCCCTCTTCTGCCTCGCAATTTTCCACACCACCATTAGTAAGTAAGACGACAAATCAGTAAGTCAACAAGGCGATAATTGAGAAAACAAGCAAGGAATCTGAGCTACTAGACCAACTGTCAGTGTCACGTACCTTTAACATCCAAATTTTCATGGAGGGAGATATTGCCTCACCGTCATTCCCTTCCTCATCCTCCTCCTCTGCCTTCCTCTTAAAATCACTATTAAATGAATCAAAGTATGAAATAATGGAGGAACTTACAGATGGTGACGGGATAATGACCTCAAACTAGTTTAAGAAACTTTTTGCACTTCTTTAATTCTTGATATTTAAAAGACCAACCGAATTGTTATTTTGTGTGGTTCGAAAGAAAGAAGTACTGCATTTAATTATTAAAATAAAGTTGTTCATTTATATACCCCATACAAAGGTCACGCTCCAAATTTGGATGTTTTCTCCTTCCTACATTCCGCATTCGGAAATTTCTCAAATCTCACATTTTTGTATGGTAAACCTGTGCTAGAACAGACCGGGTCAGAGCCTAGCATGGTTTGGAGATAACTGCCCAGCAAGTAGGTCATGTAATCCGCTCTTTCTCGCTGCGCCTCCTCTGCTCACACTGCTAATTGTGAAATAATGTAGAGATTATTCACTAAGGACAATGAGCTATTCAAACAAATTTAGGGTCCTAGGAGCTAGAAAACCCTTTTTTATCTGATTTTTCAAATGGACATGAAACGCTCAAGTCTTTTTCCTTAACCTCAAAAATTTTCCGGCATCTGATGGGCTAGTCTGTCTCACCCAACAGGATGGAGATCGTCAAGACTGCTTTAGTATAGCAAAAGCCTTCTAGAATTTCTCACTTGTCAACTCAAAAGGCAGAAGTAATACTACCTTAAGTCACATATTACAATTTAAAATGATAGAAAAACACTTTGCTGTTTGCTGAATTTAGTGATATAAGTAATTAAACAGTAATGCCCATTAGAATGGGCTAAGGTGGCACACAACTGACACCCAAAAGTCTTCGTTTTCTCCTTTGGTACAGTGATCATCCAGCTGGCTACCCTCTTTGCCAATGTGAAAATGCATCGCGGAGTGGACGCACTGTTCAAGAAGGTTTGTGTAACATGCTTGGAGGACATCGAAAAAACCATCAATTACACGCTAGCGGTTCCAATGACCTACTGTATGGCTCCGCCTACCGATTACTCGACCATCTACCTTTTCACCCTTTTCACTAACGTTCTATCAATATTCAATTTTCTTGACTCCATAGACTCTGATACCTGAACTCCAACCATTGTAACCGTTAATAAAGAGCTTGCTCATTTTTGGGTTCTCTTGCCACTGCTAGAGGTCCCCGACTCATGGTTTATAGGTTTGCTCTTTTCAAGGCGACACCAAACCTCAGTGTATCGTTTTAAAAACTCTAGTTTTTTGCATCTATTCCTAGATCAGGAGCATTATTAGTGCCAAGGCTAGAATATGTGTAATTCTAGGAATTGATATTTAATTCACCTGTCACGTATATGTGACATTGGTAGCGAAGCACCAAATATATTGAATTTTCTTTCTTCTTTACCCTTGCAGGCAATTAACCCTCCTGTATGCCTTAATTTTTAATAGCCACTCTTTTTTTTCTCCACAAGGTGAGGTGGAAGTCATTAATCGAAGAAATTATATGGGCGATGACGATGTTTTCGTATCTCATAAAACTGCCACCATTTCTTCCTATTTTAATTTTGGGTTTTAACAAAGAATTTAGAGTCCACTCGTCTTTTGGCACAGCTGCCAAATGCCCACTGTTTTAATACAAGCTGAAAAATGGGTGATTTCACCGACGAACTTGTGAATATATTATGCAAACAAGCATGTAAATTTTCGGTAGTGAAATAAGGATAACGGTTTCTTGTGGCTTCCCTATCTCATTACATCATTCGTTAAGTGCCCTGCAAATACATTTTGACTCCAGGGATATTTCGTTGTTCAAGGTTTCATCAATGAAGGCTACCAAAAAAGTGCCACTATTACTGGGTCGACATTGTTATTTATTTGTATAACTAAAAATGATTGAGCCTTCTAAGAGTTTTTAGTAGGGCAACTTGAAGTGCTTTGATTTATGGTGATCGATTCGCCCTCGGCTATCGTGGTAGCTACGAATTGTCAAAGTAATCAGAATTACCAAAAGTCTACTTTAATTCGCTAATAAAGGTACCTTGATTCCGAATTTGAAAATGTAACATCTGAATTTAACTGGAATACTTTTTGTGCTTTTTCCAAAGTTAAGCTAAGTCGGTATTTCAATGCAGTTTCACAATGACTTCACAATTGCAATAAAATACCCAGCACACAACCACTTAAAAGGGACTATTTTTTCTAGTTTGGTGGATTTCCTAAGCCACTTTGCAGCCAAAGACAGGGAAGACAAACCCAAGAGCCTAAACAAATGAGCATTTTCGACAAAGTCATTCAAATTCCACTTTTTTTCTGATTCGTCATCTAAAGCACCAATTACAGTTGCACAATCATGGCTGTTCCTTGATTGGTTGATTAGCACGTCTTGTCTGCGCATGTGCTTCAAGGTATGCGTGCTTGCAAGTGATCGTTCGGTTTACACTTCCCCCAACCGGAATGGAAGTTCGACTGTTGCAAATCGTCGATATCCCAAAAATGGTAGGCTACATTCCCAATTTATGGCATTGGTTGAGGTAAACATCGCCTTTGTCCACCCTAAGCATTTAAATTTATGGCATTAAAGAGAACTGTTCTATCCTAGTATTTTTTGAAATAATTTGCCGTAAAACATTATCGAGCATGCCTTATAACTGCAGAAAGAATTATGTATGTTTTGTCACAGATAAAAGGACATTTGTGTTTCGTTCAGTATTCTTTGTTGTTCAAATCCAAAATGTAAAATTTGGCTTTTGATAATTGTGTAATGGGCTAAAAATGCAATAAGACATTGAGTTGAAAATTTATCGCATTAATCCCTTCTCACCTTTCATAGCACTAGTTAAGGACTTTAATTCTCATTAGACTTTAGGCCATTTTAATTCTTTTTTTCCAAAAAAAGATTGATTGTGAATTCCATGTAATTCTGATAGACTCACAACAGAATAGGCCAGAACCTTGCAAAAATGTTGCATTTTATTGGTGTTTTTAAAAGTGGATATTATTGGCAAGCCCTTTTATGTGACCTCCTCTGATTTCTTTTCGTAAGCTTTTCCAACTTCAGAGCGACCTCAAAATTCCTTTCCATAATCATTAATGCCAATAATTAAACTATAACATCTGACACGACTTACACAACTAAAAGCATAGTCAACCATCACAATCGGTATGGCATTTGTCCAGAATTAAAGAAAAGAGACCTTTTTGTCAGGTCAACTGAGACTGAGACATCGTAAGGTGAATAGGCTTGAATAAATTTGACAGTGGTTTGTTCTGATTTCTCAATCACCAGTTACAAACTGTGGGCCGATTCTCATATGGCCGACGTCTTGAAAATTCGCTTGACAATTAAGTGAAGTAAATCGCATTCAAATTTCTGCTCAACCGATAAGCACTTTTGACTAGTTATTTTACCGATGAAGCTTCCCCTTAATATCTCACTAGGGAAATTTCATAATGCAACTCGATGCATCGATTACCAAAGCTATCAGAATGTCACTACACGTGTAATATTTGGCATTCCATATCGTTACGTTGTTGATATTGAGACAATGAGAAAAAATGGAATCATACGGGCTTTTTGGTCATGTCTTGTGCTGGTGGAATTCTCGACTGCTGTTCTATCCCGTTTTAAAGTTTGGCACGTTCACGGCTAGGATCTGTCCCGATGCCAAATCGTCTTTCACGACCTGTAAAAGATACGCTCTACCTAGAACAGTGCAACTCTCTTCAAGCTTCAACTTCATTTTATCTGTTTGTGGCACGGTTCAGTTGAACCGGACATCATGAAATGACAATGAATGAGTGTCACACATGTGTGACGCCTGTGTCATGAGTGGGATATGAGTGTATAGCCATTTGGCTCTAATCATAGCCGCTAACACAGCCTCATCTATAGTGATGAGCGCCTGGAGCATGTCTCGCCTCGTTTACCCTCTGATTATGCAAATTAGTCGCAGTTACACACGTCAAACGTAAAGCCACTCAAATAACATGCACTTCTTGCCTGTCATATCTCGGGGTTCGCTCTAGTCTCCCCTCTTGGCTGGTTACCATTGTCCACATTGTATCCTAGTTTGACTAATACCGCATTCTTTGCACACTTTTATCACAAAGGCTATCATTAACCCCAGAGGCTTATCCGCAATTTATATACGAACATACACACATGTATGACTGGCAAATTTTGAGGGCCTGGTAAAGTAACTTTACTTGGCTTTGGTAATTTCAGATCTTGAATATTGTCCTGTGCCTGTGCATTTTCGCTCCCTTTCTACCTCTAACGCGTTCCAACGAATATCCAGAGTGCAAGTATGGAGGTGTACGGGAATTCGCCAATGGACGCACATTGTGAGTTGTTTCATCGCGTTCTCTTTCATTCTTACTAAGCGCCAAACTTGTCGGGTTTGATGCTGGAAGTGTATTTTTTCAGTCTTTTTTAGACTTGGATGTTATTAAGGATTAACTAATTGAACTGAATGAATTCGTCCAGCACTTCCATTATTAGAGAGCCTCGAGGGTAAATCCACCACCCCCTTCGGCCATTCCACTAGAACATCAAGTTTTATCAACTTTTTTATCCTGTATCTTTTTTTGTTTAAAACTTAGTTATTCCTGTTTACTGCTTGGTGTAATCAATTATCATGAAGTGACGACGAGCACATACTACATATTAGAGACACCGAAATCGGATCTAGAAATCGAGGCGTCGCATATGTGTGACACAGGTGACGAACATTATCAAGAGGTGATGCTGAAAGCCGAACGTCTTTTAATTACAAATTTCCCTTTATTCTTTTATTGAAGTGTATGACACAAAGTAAGTGCCTTGGATTTTCTACCCATCTCATTCGGCCTGGCTATTTAAGTAGTAATGTTAAGACCCATGTTATTCCAGATTTTTATGACGAAGAAAGGATGCGATTAATTTTGTAGAAATCTTCTCTTTATTGCAAGAATAGCTCCTTTAATAAAAAAGGTCATCATGTATTTGGGTATAGTTATCTTGGTCATCCTTCTGTGAGGCTCTATGGATTCAACCGTCAGCAACCCTCAGACCTATTAATGAGTGACTCGTCCTCGGAGGTCATGTTTTTGAAAGGTGCTAAAAGTTTAGGCTGCATACATAGCTTGCTGCTCTACCACCATTGTAGTCTCCGAATCCAGCCCCGAAGATTTTACTGCATCTGTAATTCGCAAGTGTGTTTGATAGAGCCAGAATTGAGGGTCTAGGATACTGGAGCCATTCAGGATGTAGTCCGAGCTTTCACTTCATCAATGAATGCTGGAGCAACAAATCTTCATTTGCTATACCGTGCATCCCATTTGTTATCTGCGCATTACATCTGCTCTAAGTTGAGAAAATGACATGTGGACGGTGAGAAGGCCATGAAACTGAGACTACTCTAAATGATGCCCACAATTTGGCCCAATATCAATGAAATCTCGGCTTTAACAACACCTTAAAAATAAGAGGGTCTGTGTCCAAATGACTCATTTGCAATGTTCTAAGTTAATACAAGTTGTTTCTGCTCTACTTTTTTTGGCCTTTAATCTAAATTCCTCCAAATCATGCAGGTCACATATGTGTGACGCACGTAATCACTTGTGTTAATTAGGCCGCCAAACAAATTTCGCACCCTAAAATAGATCCAACAAAGAGTACTTTGATTAGTTCAGTCCTTGTCATGTAGCATTACCAGACATGGTGGAGAACCTGAGGTGTAAAGAAACAATGTAGTTTGGTACTCCACTTGTAGTGGATCTTCGTAAGTTCTGCCATCTATATCAGATGTCATTCTTCCAGGATGTGTTCTTTTTATGTTTAAAAGACTTATCTAGATCCAAGCTCTCTCTAAGACAATCAAAGTAAGACCTCTCAAGACAGCTTGTGCCATTTTCTCACCAACTTGTGTGCGAAAATTTTCTTTCTGTGTGTAAATTGTCACCTGGAGGTGGTATGGCATGACGTCTTCTGACGCTCAAAGTTTATCGGTGACTTGAAGATAAAAAATTTGGAGACTTTTGCAACCAATGAGTGTTTGACTGCATCAAACGTGCTTTTCAACTTTACTCGTCCCATTATGTAAGAATTAGTAGGATTTCCTTGGCCTTTAGAGGCGAACCATCATTCACTAGCTGCGCTCCCTTCTGTCTATTTTTTGACTTTGCACGTGACCATGCCAACGTCTGGCACCAGGAATAGGCAAAGTTTTGTTATGATGATCTTGAATTACGAAAATTGGGGTTGAGGTGACGTGTTCTTCTCTCCCGTCCATCCCACTCATTGACTGACTAAATGGCCTGCATCTTCGGGTCCCATCGAGTAAGCTAACCCTGAGTGCCATTGTTTGGACTTCAGCGAGTGAACAGTTGCGTTGACCGCAAACAAACCAAGTGTAGTCTTCTGGGTGATGAGCTGTTGACTCATCTAAGGTCTGTCAACATTACAGTGTCAAAGTAGAGCAGTTTTATGGCAGGAGACGTATTAAAAATAACGGTGAACAAGGTAAAAAGTCTTGGAAACTCGAATTACCTGTCTCTGTATGACATGTGACACTCGTTTGCGTCCATTTCCGGTCGATTACTTGTAAGTCATGCCAGTAATGACAAATGATTCTCTTCTCACGATCTTGCTTGGACATCTTACGCTCCATTCTGCACCGAGATATCACTTTGTGTCGTGAACCAACTTCCAGTGTTTCTCGTTAGGCAAGTGGCTATTTTATCTCCTTTCCCCTCCATTGTCACTAGTTGTAACTGTCCTCAAAATCGTGTTAACACCGGTCCCCTGTGTGAGACTGTGCGTGTGAACTTTGAAAACCTTCAAACTCCATTGACTGCAATCAGAGAAGTCACTCCCACCCTGCCGCTTCACATCTCACTGGAATTTATATGCAAGGATTTTCGCGGAACAGGCGTACTATTCACTCTCGGTGATTACGTACGTTCTCGCCAATTCTTTTGTACTTTATGCATTTAGGAGACAGTGGCTGTTGACTTATCTTATAGGTGACAGTTGAATGTACTTCACTTTTATGATAAAGTAAATTGTTGGGTAAAAATGCCGGTCTGAGATTAATAAGAGGCGAGTCATATTGTAAACCTCTGAATGTACGAATAAAATGGATGCATACTATGCCACAAACTTGAGAAGGAGCTTTGGAAACTTTGGGACTGGCTCGTAGAGCGGAAAAGCCCAAATTACACCCACCAGGTTTAACTGACGTCATTAAGCTGTACCGAAAATCTCGCAAACATTTCGGTTGCCTACCATGTCATTTATGGGAATACTGAAGTCATTGTTTTTGGTTGTCACGCCAACGTTTTTATTTTGGTAGAGAACTATTGACTAAAAATTACTAGCAAAATTTTCTCTCCTTTTATAGAAAAAAGGACTGGTACTTGAGTTGGCTTTGAATTACGGGCAACCTGTAATCGCTCTGAATAGCAGGAGGCAGACTGCAACTGTTGGCTCCCTTCACGACAACGAGTGGCATCGCCTGGATCTTTTCATGGCAAAAACTGTGGGTTTTTTTCTCGAAATTTTAGTTCAAGGGTGTACTACTTATTGTTGTTGTAAGCAAAGGAAACCTAGAAGTAATTAGGAAATTTTGGGCTTAAAAAATAGCATATTTGTTTAGCTTATCTAACAAAAAGCAAACTATAACATCAAAATTATCCTGCACATTAAATTTCTCACTCGAATTTTATTTAAAGGCTGTCTAAATTTTTGCACCTACCTTCAGCCAATCGGTGTCGACGTCACTCTAATTGTTGATCGATGCGTTGATAAACGGAGATGTGGCCGAAAACTGACCTTCAATGGAATCACCACCACCTCCTCAACGATTTCAGGACCCCTGGCACTCAACACTCCCTCTATTGATGGCCACCGTCTAAGTGAACTCTGCTTGGAGAATATTGTCATTAATTCAGAGGTGGTTGAGTTAATTTTATTTTATCGTGTTGACAATTTTAATGTTTATTCTTTGGTCTGTGTGTCACATAAACATGGTGTCATGCAGCAGATTGATCTAGTCAAAAACGGGGACTTACAGGGGTGTTTGAATCAAATTGGGACTTTTGGTCCTTTGATCTAAAGGTCAAATGACTCTACTTTCTATAAAACAGTCTTCTGTTTTGAAAAGCCCCCGCCATCTTATCATTGAGACAGAATGCTATCTTGTGCATTTTTTGACAAGCAGTGTATTCTTGAGGCGTTGTGCCAGATAAGGTGTTCCAGTCTAACTGAACGTTTTTAGAAATTGCCAAGCCTGGGATCGTCACTTTTAGAGGGACACACAATTACCTATGAAGTGACTGCACTTAAACCATTTAAATGTCTTACTACTTAGTGGTTGGGTGTCAAGTCATCCCAGCCATCACCGAAGTGCTGCCTGAAGCTCTCTCGCACTTATAGATTTTATGTATCCCGGCTTGACCTAAACGGACTTGGTGAGATCAATGATAAGGTTACTAAGGTTTCTTTAGGTTGTTCTCTATTCCGTTCTTTCTTATGTTGTAGTATCATTTTGACTTTTCCTTAAACAAAACTCATGGAAGATGTCTACTACAATTAGATTCTCCCGAAAGATAACGGGTTTGTTTTCTTTCAATGCAAATTTAACATGGATTTATTTTTTTTTACAACCACTCACGGTGTATAATGAATCAGGTAGCAGACCTGAGTTGGAACCGAAGGAAGTAATGCAAATGAGCTGAAGACAACTTTAACCAAGTTGTCAAGTCCGTTATTCGGAAAATATTAAACTATTTGGAGTTGTTTGGGGTTGTGGAATTCTTAGGTAATCAAATGGAAAGTGCAAGATTCAGTAAGATGAGTGAATAATGAAGGAGATACATCGACTTTAGTCAACTTTTTAAACTTTCGTATAGTGGTAAAAAGTGCTTCTTACCAATACCACATATCAAATGAGATTTGATCATAGCGGCAGGATATCCATGTAGCACCTCGTAACTTCCCTGGAGACAAAAGAAGGCATAATACTCGGGCAAAATATGTATTGTTGACGTACAGAAGGGCTTGATGCTGCTCTCGTTACCCGGAGACCCAGCCGTCCTACGAAGGTACAATAACGGAGCACCTAGGTGGCCCCTTTACCAAATTCGGAAGTTAAACATACAAGGAACTTATTGCATAGCCCCTCTTGTCTTTTGAGCGTCGCCTCCAGCGCTCCCCTTGGTCAAATTCCCGCGTTATCCATCGCAATGCAATTGGTGCTATAAGGAAGCACCCACGCGTATACGGTGCCACTCATCGAATTCCCTTGCCACTATGAAGGCATCTGATTGCAGAGTCACTGATTCCTCTTAATAATTTTACTAGATTTGTGCTTTTTTTCTGTTTGATAACTATTTTGGGGGAAGCAGAAATGTGCTGGCCATCTCGTATGTCCATCACTAGTCGTAGGAACATTGACTTACATGTAGAGTCACGAAATAGTTTTATGGGGAAAAATTTTGATTCTCTCCTCTTTGTCACGTCGGTCCCGGCCACATCTATCAGGGTTCCATCAAGCTATTGGGAAGGTGGAAGAGGTATCGCGGGTTCACATAGTTAGTATCGTCCTTCAGACATAGCAGGTAGCTCCATAATAAACCTATTTTAGTTGGTTCATGGCTATTATCACTTCATTTCTTCATTGCTTTCACGTATGCTGTGGAACTGGGTAGACGTCATTTGCAGCCCTTCTGTTAAAGATCGTCACAGATTCTCTATCCGCGACCTATGTACCTTTTTCACTCCGCCAAGGTCTGTCTTTTGAGAAGTAGAAATCAGGATAGGTGCCCTGCAAGACCAGATTTACTTTTCACTGCCACTAATGTATTGCCTCGAGGCTTCCCTGAATACGTGGGAAGACATAATACTCGGGTAGTATGTAAACTCACGACCTACAGTAGGGCTTGATGCTAATGGCATGGCCCGCCCGGAACAAATACAATGGCGGAGGCCCTAAGTGGCCCCGTTACCAAAAGAAAGTTAAACAACTAACCAATGCATTACATATACCTCATTTTGATGCCCATTATTACGGGTTGCTCACCTACCTACTATCCCCAATTGCTAACCCATTCGTTTTTCCAGCAGCACATTCCCGATCCACTCGTTAATCCACTCTTGGTGCCTCCTAAATCAATCGTCTAAATCGACAGTTATCAATGGTGGATCCATAACTGGTTTACTCCGTTCATCTCAAGTACCATGGCACAACTTCGAATACCTTTATAAAAACAGGACCGCGGCGAGCTTAGACGCGTGCCTTGATTCCTCCTTAAAAGGTGTTGCCGTCGAAATACTATGTTAATTTTCTTCAACCTCGACATGAATTTCCTCGATGGGTGGTTTGTGCTGTAGAAGGAGACATGTTTTTTGGAGTACCCGTTTGTGGATATTTTTTCGTTTAGGTGCTCACACTTGTTCTAGGTAATGTGGAGTTAGCCATATATAACATTCATCCAACTTCACCCTACTTTTTTTTCTCTGTTTCCGGTGTCCAGTTTCGGTTCTGTTGATTGCGTGACAACTACTGATCAGTGTACGGCTAATGATGGTTTAATGGGATTCGATTAATCAAATCTAGTGGGCGGATGGATCGTCAACTCCAAGACTATTCAATCTTTTGCCTCAAAGCAGAGACAGGAAACGAGTCCAAAAACTCACTCACCATATTCATCCGTAAACCAGATAATCAAAAGTGTTGGTGAGGTATCCGATATGGCTTGGTGCGATAAATGGAAGCGGTGAAGATCTGGTGTTGGTGGACGTAAGCTTGGATCCCATCGAGTTCCCAATTGGAAGATTCAAGGAGTATTCGCTTACTGTATTGAACTAGTAGACGAGTTTTTGTATTTACTTCCCTCTTCTACGATTTTTACAGCTAGTGGATCTCTTCGAGGCTACAACAATGAGACTTCGTGCCCGGGGGTGTCCCAAATGCGAGGAGGCCTGTTTCTTCAGCGAAGCTTTCAACAGTGCCGGTCGATGTGGCAGTGAGGGCATCTGTCGCAATCCCATTGTCGCCGCTATTGATCAGTATGTGTGTACATGCCGACCCGGCTACCAGCCTGTCCTACAGAAGGATCATTTTAATGGCAGTCCCCTCAACACCAGTATCCCCTGTGCTCAGCGTGAGTTGAGTGAAATGCCGATGGCCGATTTTACGCCCTTAGCATTGTGCCCTGAAGATATCCGAATGCGTGCCATTCCAACAGTGGGTTCATTATGAGCAAAGGCGTTCAACACAACCCCTTTCTACACTTAGCTCCATTCTATCGTCTAGCTCGTACCTAAATTGCTTAAGTACATTAAGATAGGCAAATACGGGTAAAGCATTATAAGGCAACCCGCTTCATTTCGTCCTTGGTGCTGAATTGCTGACCCCGGTCGCATTACTATATGCACACAAAAAGGTAGAAATCACATGGTGCAAAGTCCGGACTATGGAGAGGAAATTGCAATGCTTACCAACCAAGTAGATTCAGTGTCCGGCGGGCATTACGAGCCTGTGCGAAAAGCTGTCCTGCTAATCGTTTGGAAGTGCAAATTCTACTGTTGCTACAGAAAAAGTCTTCTCTTAAGCATCTTCACAACTGATTAGGTTAGTTCCGATCGGATACTTATGATTTGGTGTTCCTCTTGCTGAAGTTAATGTTCACCAGAATGGCGGCCGTGCTGTGTGCTGGCGGACATTTCTACCATAAAACTTGGTTGCTGCATAGAAAAAAAGGCAACTCTTAGGAAGGGTCAAGTCGTTCAAATGCCTT